ATGGGTTTAAGGGTGAGGTAGTGGTGCTGCGGTTGGGTATGGGGGCGTGTGAGAATCGGGGTTCGGGGCGGGGTGGGAGAAGGGAACCGGATTTTTGGGGGGTGGATTCGGGGAGGGGCATGCGTGGGAATCTAGAGAAATGGGTAGTTGCAGTGCTGGGAAAGGGGCTTTGAGGAGTGCAAGGAGGAAAGGATCTAGGTTGAAACAGGAGAAAGGGTGGGGTCTTGAAGGTAGGGAAGAAAGAAGTTGGGGCTGTGGATTGTGAAGTTGAGCCCAGTGAGGCCTGAAGTAAGGGGATTTTGAAGGTTGAAGACAGGACAAGGAAAGAGATGGAGAGGTTTGGATCCTAGGAGAGGGAATCCATGAGGCGGGAGGAAGGGAAGGATAGGTGGTAATGGACGGAATAGATGGTGCCTGGGGGTGAGAGTGGGTGGAATGACGTGGGGAGTAAGAGGGAGGCTGGTGGTGGTGGGATTGGGTCTGGGGACCCGGAGCCCAATTCAGAAGGGCCAGGGAAGGAATAGGTTTTTACAGAGGTTCTCAACCTGGGGGCCGAACGACCCTTTCACAGGGGTCGCCTAAGACCATCGGAAAACATATATAATTACATATTGTTTTTGTGGTTAATCACTATGCTTTAATTGTGTTCAATTTGTAACAATGAAATTGGGGGTCACCACAACATGAGGAACTGTATTAAAGGGTCGCGGCATGAGGAAGGTTGAGAACCACTGGATTAGAAGGCCATAAGGTTTCAGAGGTGTGGGCAGAGGAGCTGAGAGTGGGCGAAGGAAAGAGGGTTTGGGATTTTTCCTGGAGAAACTGGATTTTGTGTGAGAAGCTCTAAAGTTAGCGGGTAGGAAAACTAAACTTTAAGTCTCCAGATGTGGGAGAGGTTGGTGTGTGCCTGGAGGTCACTAGGGAGCAGGGTATGGTGCCGGCCTCGAGAGCTTGGGAGAGGAAAGGGTGTGGGCGAGAAGGCAGGTAGGAAAATGCAAGTTACAGAGGAAAAGAAGAGTGAGAGGAACTGAAAATTGAACAATGGTGGCTGACACAGAACAGTGAAGGTAAGCTTGTCAGTTGCTTATTCATGGCTTGGAACTAGTTTCTGTTCAGGTTTTTATGTTGGAAATTTCCTCAAGAATTCTGCATTTTCAAATTAACCAAGGGTGTCTGCAGCCTGGGGATGAAGGCCGTGAGTTGACAGATGTTTTCCTGGTGTGTGGATGTGGGTCATTTCTGCCCTGGCAGAAGGAAGAAGGGAGGCCTCAGTGTAGCTCTCTGTCCTGGCTCTGTTCCCACCAACTCTTTCCTCAAATGTCCACTGTTTTGTGTGTGTGTGTGTTTTTAAGTCTCCTCCCTGTCTCCCCATCCTCCCAGCTTGAGCCAGTGAATACCAGAGGAATCAAACAGGTGGGTGAGATTAAGGAAAGAGCTTGAATTTTGGAGTATTACAGCCTTGAGGTTTAATGCTGGCTCTGTCACCTATTAGTTATGTATTTTAAGTAAGTTACGTTACTTCTCTGGGCCTCTTCATCTGTTAAATGGCAGTCTTGACCTCATAAGATTGTTGAAGATTCCATGAGATCATTTAATATAGTACCTAGCATAGTGCATGACAACTGGCAGATGCTTAATAAATGGTAGCTGTCATACCTAGTATCATTATCATCATAGTCTTTCCTAGGATTTATTATGATGGGGGTTGTTAACTTACTTTACTTACTAAAGTTAGGTGTTTTCTTCTCTTTCTCTTCAAATTAGATATCCATAGACTCAGATCACAATTTTAATCCTGTTGCCTCCTACCTCCCCAACCCCCCAACTCTCCAACCCCCCGACTTGACATGAGAAGAAGGCATTTCCTTATTTTCATGCTTCCTGCTTGATAAACTGGCTTCAGGTTCTAAAAAAACTATCATGTTTAGTTATCAGTTCTTTTATTTTGCCTCTGATTCAAAGAGGCTGCAGAGAACGGAGTTATTAATGTAGTAAGGTTATATTTTACTCATTGGATGAAATGACATGCGGCGTGGTATTGGTTCATTTATGGTGGCCAAATGCTAGAACATGCACTGTTGTGATATTTTTCTACAATGTTGTATGTGTTACAAAAATGCCTCTCTGTAGGAGGCTGGGAAATTAATAGAATGGCCCTGTTACTCTGTTGATCTAATATAAAATATAGCTAATGCAGATCTACACTGGACATTGTTATCCTTACAGATACTGATTATTTTAATTTTCCAGTTTCTATGGGTTTTGCCATGGTATGTCCCCTGGGGAGACCCATTCATAATAGACCACCCTGTACATCAGCCAGGTGGAAAAAAGAAACAAGTGCAGAAGCTCTGTGTGGAGTTCTCTTGCCTTCATGGTTTATTATCTTGAAAGGTTTAAATACAAAAGGTTGTAATTTTTAGATCATTTTATAGTACCTTGCAGATTCTCAGGAAGCTGTTTATTGGGAGAATGCAAGATGCAGAGATTCAGTAGTAGAAATCACAGCTCAGCAGGATACCCGGGACCAAGATGAGTTCCTCAAGTGCCAAAGTTGAAGAATAGAGAGGCCTTGGGGTTTCTGGACAGATGATATGGGTTTACTCTTTAGGAAATTTTGGATCTCTTTTCATTATTTAGGAAGACAACCAGCATTTGATGAGTATTTTAAGGGTAAAATATAGCCATAACTATGCCCTTTTTTTGAAAATGATCTCTGGAAGCAGAAGCTGCCAGGATTTGGGGCAGCCTGGGTGAACATCCTTACTCCTGTCCCAAGCTGCTGTGCCCCCTGCTGGATAGAATCAGACTTTTCTGATTTTCACCCGAAGTACTCCATTCCCGCATTTGTCCATTCTACTCCAAAGTTTGTGGAAGGCACTATTGGGGGTGAAGATTATGGGTAGTACAGATGGGCAGACTCTGTTTCTTTGTCAAGGAGCTTATAGTGTGCTGAGCCATTGTAATATATTATCTTCCATTGAATTTGCCTTTCTATTAAAATCAAATCATTTCTTTTTAGGACTGTACCTGCTGTCTACTTTCTGATCTTCAGGTAGAGTAGGACTCTGAATGTCTAATCATAGAGATAAAGACCAAAGGGTCTGCTTTATCTCCTCATCAAGATTAAAGTCTGTGAGGTTGAAGGAGCCAGATGTTTACTTCTACTGGAGGAAGACCTTAGAATAAGTGAGGCATCTCCTTAGTAGCAAGCTGAACACCAGCAAGACTATGAGTTATAAGAGCCTGCACTGTTATAGGAGGCTTTTGTTTTTTTCTCGTTTGTAGATCCCCC